ACACACACACACACACACACACACACACACACACACACACACACACAAACACACACACACACACACACAAACACACAAACACACGATGTAGGCGAGTTAAATTGAAATTGCACAATGCATTAAAACATTACTACTATCAATTATAGCCTCACTGGTGCATCAAACTCAACCAAATATGTTACGTGCAAAATTCAGTCAAGATTGGACGAGATTAGGAGGAGTTGATAAAAGAAGTGGTTTGTATAAATAAATGGTGAAACATCTCGGTAACTGCAATAACTGCTTGTTCCTGCTTACTCTTAGCCAGCTGAACAAGCGGAAAATACCACGCTGTATTATCATATTATTTTATCACCTCATAAAAGGTGTTATGGTGACTGTGTTGCATATTTACACAATACTAATTTCATTTTCTTGCCAGAACTGTTAAACTTTGCTCATATGTGGGTGGTCAAATCATCCACGTGGCTTCCCATGCTGCTCCCAAACTTCACTGCATTCTTGTGCAATTTAGTAGGAAGGTCCCCGCAGACGTGGATGATGAGCTAACAAGACGGAGGCTGCCGCTCGGCTAGATGGAGAATTGTTGAGCGTTGTGGTCGGTGTTTGTGCTCCATTAAATGCCCTCTGGTCAGCTGTTGTAGTAATGTTTTATTCCATTGCAAATGGATCAACATTAGTATTGTTATGAGCATCATGAGGCTGCTTTGTATTCTGCTTTTTGTTGAAGTGGTTCAAACACTCAAGACACCCAAGCTTATAATTTCCAGCGATCATAAGCCAGGCGTACAGACGGCCCTGAACACAACACGAGGGGTGTGGTGAAATATATGAACTCCTGTGGAGAACAGTGCCACCCTCACCTTAGTCAGATCCACTCCAGTGAGGGCGTTGACGGACACGGGGAGCTCAGCTAACAGACGGTTCACCTCTCCGGTCACGCGGCTGCCATCTCCGCTCAGGATGACAATCTCACTGGTCCTGGACAGCGGTGCAGCCACCTTACTGGCAATCTGAGGAAACACAAGGGAGCATCCGGGTGTTATTTCACTGACTGAACACTCCTCGTACCATCTATTTATGACAGGAATTGACATGAACATATTCCATTCATTCCGTCTCATCAGGGGAAAGAAAAATACGCCCCTTGTGTGTGTCAATGTGACTCAAATATTGATACCAAAGTCATCTGTCTGATTGATAACTCTGACCAGTGCAATGCTTTAGCAAACACCAGGCTGGGAATATGTACGTGTGTAGCATTAGTTCATTTGTAATGCTCCACATAAACCCGCTAGGCATGTTAACCTGCACCATGTTTCAATGCAGCTGATTTATAATGGACGTATCTGATGGTGAAGACTAGTTTGCTGATGTTTGAGAATAAAAACATATATTCCAACTTCAGAATACTAAAAAAAAAAAAAAAACTGTTTTATAGTACGTCTTTAATTCTTGTTCTGTAAAATCGATTTAAAGAACTCTCAGATGACGTTGGTGCCATACCTCTAGTGGTGAAGACATTTGGGTGATCAAACCAATAAACCAAGCATCTTAAATGTAGGTGAATTATTTTCAAACCAGCGGCGTATAAATAAATACCACAGACCAAGGGCAGAGCCTCCAGGACCAGAGCAGTCTTGGCCGCCTCGCCGTACTGCTGGTAGGCTTCCGCTTTCAGCCTCATCTTCTCGGCCTCTGCCTTGCCCACGGCTTCAATAGAGGAGGCCTCGGCCTCGCCGATGAGGCGGATCTTGTCGGACTCTGCCTGCGCCATCAGCACCGTCTTTATCCTGAGGTCGGGGTTAGGTAAGCATCGAAAGGACTGTTTAGTGTTTACTGTCGTTGGCGGTCAGTCATGTACTGTTCTGCGACAGCATACGAATGTATAAGCTGGATTTGCAGGTTTATTGTGCTGATGTAAACAAACTTTAAAACCATCAAAAAACATTATCAACTTAAAAATCTAGCTGCTGTCTTAGCATTAGAAAGACTTGTTATTCAAGTTAGAGAGCACATTTAAATCATGTGTTTGGATCAAAGGAACCGTGTGTAGCATTATGGGGGATCTATTAGCAGAAATGGAATATTATATATTAGTATTTACGTCTGTTTTCTTTGGTGCGTACATTGTGTTTTCACTACCTTGAATGAGACGTTTATCTCTACATTCGGAGCGGGCAGACATGTTTCTACAGTAGCCCAGAACGTTCAAACCAAACACCGACACTGGCTCTAAATGGGGACATTTGTGGTTTCGTGTCGGCCACCTTCGCTCTACTAACTACACGCTTGGCACAGGGGAGAAGTTTCAAATGGTTGCATTCTGTAACCTCGCCACTAGATGCCGCCAAATCCCACACAATGCACCTTTAAGGAAGGTGTCTTTAAAGGCCAACAATCTGTTTTTTTCCATTTGTTTCCTTCCTAATTTTCCTTCCTAGGTTTAAACAGAGTAAAGTAAAATGTCCCAACATCATTAGCAGCTACGGAGACTTTAAGACTTAAATGATGAAGAGAGAATGTTTGCAGTGTGCAGTGAAGGTCTGTGCGGGACCAACTCACTTCTGTCCCTCAGCCAGCTGCTGCATCTTGTAGGCTTCCGCCTCGGCGGGTCTCTTCACGGTGGCCACGAGCTCCTTTTCAGTGCGGATGACCTCCTTCTCCTCGATGTTGATCTGCTTCTTCCTCTGCACCACCTCGATTTCAATCTCCTCCAGACGGATCTTCTGCTGCTCTTTGGCCGCCTGCAGCTCGTACGCCAGCTGAGCCTCTGCTTTCTGGAGAGGTCGGAGGTTTTCATTAATACTTTGCTCTCATGTCGGATTGTCGACAATAGTCGGCTCAAAATCAAGTCCAAAATCATCCAAGTCATACCTTTGTGTTCACTTCCTGATTAAAGGAAGCTTTCTGCATTTCCAGCTCTCGTTTGGAGTCAGCCATTTTTGTGTCAGCTAAGAACTTGACGTCCATCATTTCCCTCTTACACTCAGCTTCCTGTAAAAGACATTGTGCAGGACATAATGACATAATAATCCACGAGAGATGGATTAGGAGCCACTTGTTGGTTTGTTAATGTGATGGCTATTAGCCAACAGCTACTCAACAATCAGAGAACGGATGTTTTTTTAAATTGCTCTTGTGTGAAGTTTTAATATCCTCTTAAAGCTCCTCTTACCCTGATGCCAGCGTCCCTCTCTGCCTCCGCCACTCCGATGTCTGCATCCCTCTGGACTGCGGCTGTCTGAGCTTTGCCCAGTGAGCTCAGGTAATCCACTTTATCATACACATCCTGTCAGGGGGACGAATAAATGTGGCGGTACATTAAGTTATTCAATTGTTCAAAGTCAAATTAGATACAGATGTTCTAAAGATAAATGCAGAGTGAAGTCAACTCGATGTCTTTCACCTTGATGGTGAAGCTGAGGATCTCGATGCCCATGCGGCCCACATCGGGTGAGGCCACCTCTCGCACCAGAGTGGCGAATTTGTCTCGATCTTGGTAAATCTGCTCGACGGTGAGGGTGCCTGAGAGGATCAACACGGGAGTTTAGTGCTTTCCCGTCAATAAGACTGTAAAATTGAGCCCGCTGACAAAGATGGGCATTATGTCAAGAGAGCAACAACGGCCAAATGATCCGTTTAAACAACTTGAAGTTGTACAATTTATGTTTGCAAGAGCAATTTATTTGAATAAACAGAAGCAGCACCTGCCATTTCATTCAGTGTGCTTTGATCAAACTGGCCTTCCCTTGTTCTAGTTTGCCACCGGATCATTGTGTTGGTGTGCATGCTGACATCTGCGCACACATTACGTGTTCAAGTCAACCACATTTTAACAGAATGTAAATTAAACGGGGAAGAGCTGAGTCAGCAACCAACCTGCCTCTTGGCTGCTGGCACATTTCACTCCACAACCACCTTTCTGGTAAAACTGCTTCCCACTGTGACTCAAACCACGGTGAGGTTCTCATCTCCAACTGAACAAAAACTGACTAGAACTCATTACAATGTATCTATAGTTAGAAATCAGAACCGTGAGACTTATGACATGCCATTTATAATCCTCTGGGAGCCAAACATGTTCATGTTGTGATCATGTCTCACGTGTTTTGACTCAAAGATGTTGAAATAAATAAGTAAAAAGTGAAAAGGAAAAAGATCTGATGGAGCTACCATGTCTGCATTTCCCTCAATCCCTCTCCTCTCTCTTTCCTAGAACATGAGCAACACTTTAAAAAACTAGACGGACTGTGCACATTTGTTGGAAAAACAATGACGATGCCGTTTGGAGAGACTACCCACCAAGGATGGCGCGCAGGTGACCCTCGAGGGTCTGCAGGATGACGCTCTTGATCTCAACCACCGACTTCCCCAGGAACTGTTCGCAGGCGTAACCCAGCAGCTCATTTTCTGTCATCACCTTCACCTGGTGCCAACGTGGACAAAGAGCGTCAGCTGAGCACACATCCACAAACACAAACACGAGCACAAATACAGGCAGAACATGGGTGTGGCACACATGTAAACATGACCCCATTCTAGCTTTTGTGGTGTCATCTAACAATCCTTTTCTCTCCGATCAGTTACCTCGTCTCACTTTAACGCCACCGGTAACATAAAGGAGTAAGAGGGCATAACATGAAGAATGGGAAATCAACAGAAGTCTGCGATGCATAAAGGCTGGGTTGTTTTTGAGTTATGCATCCTTGCTATTGACTTGGCTGGGCAGTGATGAGCTGCTTAAATAATTACTTATACAGAAAAGAAAGGGCTGAGGCTGCATAACCCTCAGGGCTGATCACTGTAGCTGTAAGCCTGATTAAACAAGGCTTTAGATAATTAATGAACATTTCATGTTTAAGTTTCTTAGTTTACATTTCTCAAAAACCAAAACTACATGTGCAAAATAATATCTCAATGCGGCTTCATAGTTACATTTTTAAACACATCAGAGCGATGCATATGGAGAGCTGGTATCTGGTATAAATGATCATAACAGTGACTGTAGTCACACAGTATGTGTGCTGACAGATCTAATGGGCAGATCTATTAAGCCATTCAATGCTTTACAATCAATAGCAGAAAATGCAGACAGTTTGACCTCAAACCGGTTCCCTTTGGGCTTATGATGACAAGCAAAGCGTGGATTTATAATGAAAACGCTTCTCTAAACCTTCACAATGCAAAAAGACATATTCCCTGTTAACAAAGTTCTAATTTCACATGATAATTATACTGAAGAAAATCCCAACATCTAAGCTAGATTCACAGTAATGCAGTGAGAATCCCAATTCAGCAATCTACTGTATGTTCCTGTTACAAGGTCAAAAAAACTAACAAAAAACAGGAGAATTTAAAGCTGAGGGGATTAAATGCAGAAACAAAAATCATCAGTGGGATAATTAACAGAAAAAAATGGCAATGACCTGTTTACGAGAGAAACACAAGGACATTCAGTGACAGTACTAGAGGTCGCTTCTACAGTCAGGAAATCAAAAACAAATGGTGTGAGACACAAGGTTTTGGGTGAGATTGTGCTCCACCGGCGCTGTAAGGAAAGAGAGAGTGAGCTGGGTCCTTAGGCGAGAGGTCTGCACATGGTTTGGTTTTGCAACATGCACTCATACCAGGAACGAGGGCAAACACAAAGTCAGGGGAAGATGGACGTCATTCCAAGGAAACGCACGTCTGGAAGCAGAGAAGGCTGCAAGCCAGCCACACAACCACACTCACAGACAGACAGCAGGGGGAGCCGTGCCGCGACCGACACCAGAACAAAGTACTCTATGCACTTAACCCTTAACCTCCTCCTCCAACCCCGCCCTCCACACCCCCACTGCTCAAGCACAGGAAATGTGATGGATCAAGAGTGGCATCTAAACTTCTCCTGATAAATATTCCCTCAGCTCATGTTGTTCCTTAACGGCCATTTTTGTAACATAGTAGATGTGCAAGGTCCTTCAATGGATGGTTTTACTGCCAACTGACCAGAAGGCTGTCAAAGTAAACAAATATACTCCTACTGAAAGTCATGTGGTATACCATTAACGCTCCTTTAAAACAATATCCTAGAGTATTTCCTGCTCTGGTTTCCTTTACATTCTATCTGCTGTGGGGCCTCCCGCTTACTCTAAACACATGCGTCTCATTAATTTACCAAGGACACACACTACTCATGTTGCCATGGGACACTCGCTCCACAATGGTCACGGTTGGCCCAATCAAAAGGTGGCACGATGAGCCTCTCTGAGAGCGAGGGGCTGCTCAGCTCCCAAACAGTGGGCGCATTGTCAGCATGCAAGTAGGAAAACACAGAGGAGAGGAACGTCGGCACGACTGTGGTTAAAATGCAGAACTGATCTTCGTTCAAACACAAAAAGAAATACTGGCATGCAGACAATAAAAATAAAAAAATTAAAAAAACAGAACAGGAAATGAATATGAGCAGAATATCATTTACAAACAGAAATGCAGAAAATATTATGGAACAAGTTTCTACAAGAGAAAATCCACCGTAAAAAGATTTATAATGTTAATAATTGATAACAGTCCGTCATAGATACTAACAGTGTACGTTTTGTACTCACACTGACAGAAGCACACTGCAACACAGGATTAGATGTATTGCACATGATCAGGCCGTATCATGGGCATGTTTTATTATATCGTGTTTACTTTGTGACGATGGAAAGGTTCTCATTACTGAATCGGGAGACTATCCCCAAGCACTCAGTGTTTATCTTCCTTTATTCACCGTGACTGAGAGTGGCAATCGTGGAGAGCTGAAACGTTTACTGAGGAGGTAGCTTTGCTCCGTGAGCTTTTCCTTCAACTTGCCCAATGTTCTTTTCACTGCCATCAATCTCCACCGGCATCAGAAAGAGGAGGAAAACACAAGCAGCCCAATCACATTCAGCCTCCTCGACCATGTGGTACCCCTGGGGCCACAGTCATGCGGACATGTAGTTCCATATTTTCAGGGACACGTGAGTCGTGGTGAAGCCTACGGCGCTGCTGTGGCTGAACCTAGTTCAGAACAAACCCTGGTCTTCTTTTCAGTCAGCCAGCACATGCTCTCTTTTCCTCCATTTTATCGCTTTAACGTGCATTATTCTGGTGTTAGCAGGAGAAATATGAACTGACTGACTTGTAGTTTTTTCATATGTTTGCTTGTACTCATCTGGTACCGTAATCTTTGTTTGAATCTCTCTTGTAACACTGATTGCTATAAATAAAGAACATAATTATTAGGTATGCTGATAAGTATATATTCTGTATGCGTGGAGTAGATCTGGATGCAGAGGTTTCATGCATGTATCAATGTTTGAGACGATAAGAAATGAATTTAAGATTATTTTAAGGTGGATTTTCTCTTTAACATCTCAAGTCGTCGACCTAAAAAAAAAAAAAAAAAAAAGTTCACTTTGGCACTGAACAGGATCAAACAACCAAAGAGCAGAGACAATGAAAAGAAAAGTTTAAAATTGACAATGAAATGCACATCAGGCTCTACACAGACCCTCTCCTGTCACACTGGGACCAGGTTCAGACTGAAAGTAACACGGTCAACAGAATGCGAGGGGCTACATATATAAAGGTGTGCTGCTACCGGGAATACGAATTAGGAAGTCGGGTTTGAAGGTTTATCAGACACCAAATGCCAACTGAATTATGCCGATTCTGCGGTCTCATTGAAATGAATGAGGAGTCTTGTTTTTGTTTTGACGCAGTGCTACCGTCAGTCTGAAAGCTGGCTTACCTCCGATATGAAGGTACATCATGCAGACAACAGTTTGACCCAACATTTCTGTGTGTACATCTGACTCAGTGTGCATCTTAACTTCAGCCCTCTGTATGAAACACCACCTGTGCTGTGATTATGGGGTGATGCCAGGGAAAAGGAGAGAGGGGGGGGGGGGGGGAGATGGTGGAGTCTGAACTGGCATTCCCAGAAAAGTGTAGTGATTTACCTGAGCCACCCCAGTGACAGTAATAGCTACACCCTCCGCTGTCTCTACATCATCACACTTCGGCTGCAGGGTCATAATCTCAAGCGTTATCCTGTTGAAGAACGTGGAAAAAATATAAAATAAAAAAGTGACATGTTCGGAAGGGGAAAGCAAAATGAAGGGAAGGGCCAGAACACAAGGAAAGAAACAGGACAAAGTGAAACCATTCACCCAAGGACTCCAGATCACTAACAACGGAGCAAAATGAGACGCCACCCACAATTCAAACTGTGGGATTTGGATTTTTGCCGTAACTATTTTTAAATGCATCGGTATTGAAATAACTCAATTCGCATTGTACATTGGGTTCCTCAAATCCCTTTTTTAACCATTTCTATAACCTTCATTTATTGACCCCGTTGCCAGAGGTGACTCAGAGTTGAGCCGGGTTAGTGACAGCTGACTGTCTCCTCTCCACTGCAGAAGGAAAAAAGGCCATGAAGATGAGAAAAAGCAAACAACATAGACAACGTTAGCTTGTTAGTTGAACCTTGCTCCTGGGTCTTCCTTTGGTCTCCAGCACCAGCCACTGCTTGTTTTTTTTGGTTTTTTTTCGTCTTTTGAAGTGCATTACCTGAGCCACCCCTGTCACATCCAGGGGAACACCCTCCGACGTTTCGATATTCTCGCAGCGACAGAGGATGGTCATAACCTCCAGAGACATTCTACGCAGGCGGGCAGGCAGGCGGGAATAGCAGAGGCAAAACAGTAAGTTGGACAACAGCTGTTAGGAATGTCAGTAACCAAGGTCAAAAGAAAGAGGGAAGAGGGAGGGGGGGGGGGGGGGGGAAGACACAACCGGACCTCCTGTTTTTCTGGTTTAGAGCCCGGAGGCTGTTTCATGTATGATGTCGTGCTGCTGACACCTCTTACAAAAACCAGGATCGTCACAGCGACAGCACGGTTCCTCTCGCCTCGCTCTGTTAATAAATGTTTTCAACAATCTGGGACAAAGAGCGAGACCTATAGATTGAAAGTCAAGTCACCGTCGTAAGGATTCTCGAGCAAAGCTCCTTTTTTTTAGGGTTACATTTGTACGGAGATTACACAACCCAAACCATCATTATGCTCCAGCGCTAGTCCGGCTGGATTGTTTATATGACATTTTGTTTCAGAGCTGATTAAAAACAGCCGGAGCTGCTCTTTTAACGATAAATATGGACTCAGAGCCGTTGTCGTCCCGAGTCGAAGAAATGGGAGGCCGATCGCAGCGACGAGCAGAGAGGAGACTCTCTGGCTAACGGCTCCGCTGCTGCTCTTTCCAGGAGAACTGGATCAATGAGTCACAGGCCTGGACATTAACGTGATTACTGCATCACGAGCGGGAAGCCACACTGCTGTGTTCACCCCCCACCCCCCCACACCCACCACCACCACCACCATTTCTATAACGCCACCCTCATGCACACAAGGCTTTTAGCTGAAGTGGCCTCTACTCTCTCCGTTTTTTTACGGCCCAAGAAAGCGTCTGAAATGTTGACTGAACTGAGAGGATTCCTGGGACAGCCGGCCTCTAAACAGGGGGGGGGGGATTTATGAATCCAGCCGTGCGTCGACTGCCTTTTGTTGTCATGGCCTACCATTACGTTTCCCAGCAACTAAGGGACAAAGAGCAGCACCTAATAGGAAATGGGTAACCTGAAGGAGACACACTGGGGCTCAGACAAGGGTGAGATAAACACCAGACGAAGCAAAAGCAGGTTAGCAAAGTAGAAACAAAGAGGCATGCAGACCCTGAATGATACATCGTTTAACACCAGGAGATCCAGAGTATTTCCACAAGTTAGTTCATGTTCATTAGGATTACTGTACGCTTTACTCTTTTACAGATGGTACAGTCTAAATGTGTCATCACTCAAACATGACAAAGTCTCACTGAGAATGGCCACATGACGGCACAGACAGTTTCATTAATAACAAACTGTCGTTAACCAGCGACTTTGAACCCAGCGCCACAACAGGGCCATTTGTTTATCATCAAATTAATATCACACGCAAATTATGTTCCGTTTCCTGTAACTCCTTTGCTTTAGTGTCAAGTGTGGGAGTTTAACACATTACATGGACGGACAACAGGGTTTTTGTTTAGTTAGAATGTTTACAAAACATAGTTTTGTAAACATTCTGCTCGTAACTTTCGCTGACCTCGTCATTATGTACCATCTGTTTATCTTCTTCGTGTTCAAATCGGCCCAAGAAGCCAATTTGTTGGAGCTGCATTAAAAAGCAGCGGACAGAAGTGACCCCCTGTTTACACATTTAGTAAACATTGAGTTTTAATATCGATGCCTCAATTTACCATTAATAACTTGTTTATTCTTCACTGAATACAAGTAGGGAAGAGATAAACTTCAAATATCTACATTCTAAATACACACCTATGAAAATTAGACTATTTGTTAAATGTTCAAATACAACTTGGGCATTTTTCATAAATGATCTTACTGTCAACAAATCCCAACTACGATTTTCAGCCATGGATTAACGCATTTTGTGTCAGAGTATTTATAGCACCAGGACAATGGATATGTGATTTAACCAGGAATAAATTAACTTCAGTGCCCATTCACATCGTTATGTGGATCATTTGTGTGTTTTCAATGTGCTCACTAAATTTAATGACAAACTGGTCAACAGAGTGATGCAGGAAAAACACGGAAATGAGTTTGCATATTTGCGCAAACTCATTGACTACAAGGTGAATGGTTTTTGGTTAGATGCCTTAAACAAGGTCTAAGGTCAACAAAAGCTTTAACGCCACACAGGTGTTTTCAGTTCATCGCCTGATTAGACCTCGTCTCAAATACGTCACACCTGCTGTGTGAACCCGCAGATACCGTGTTCTTAAATGCTACCTGACTGAGTCTGTGAGCAACGTGCCAGTTAAACTTTATGGCTGAAAAGGGACTTTTAACATTTTCTTTGGTTTGGAGCCGGAGCAGAGAGGTCTTACCTCTGGATGTCAGAGATGAGCCACCAGGCCCAAGACCAGCCTCCCACGACATATGTCTTCTGATCTGAGCCACAGCAGCCACCTTTGGAACAAAACAGATGAAATGGAGGACAACAGTCAGAAAAAAGGAAACCAGCCCAAATTAATTATCCCTGAAATTTTGATTTAGATAGTTGAGACCTTTTAAAAGTGTCTATAAACAGATATTTTGCACTCGTAGTGATGACAATTGTTTGCTAAAAAGTCCACCATAATAACTAAATAACAGTGATGATGCACTTAAATTCATGCAGTTCATTGGAAGACATTTATAATACATGCGATACATAAACCTATATGTAACTGGAGCAGCAGATTTGGCTTTAAACCCAAAGTAGCATTGAAGGTATTGAGACAATGACCCAGTTTTCATTGTCTGCGAGTGATTAGGAGGAAGTCTTAGGAAGATGATCATGTGCTGTTCTGAAAGTCATAAACAAGCACAAGTCCCACCACAGCGCCCACAATTTTTGCTCGTATTGCACTACTAGGAGCATGCACCCACTCCCTGCTTTCCGGCGCTACTTTAAATCTTTTGATTCGACTCAGAAACCACCGGTACGTTGTTACTGTGATCTGCTGTGCAACTACAGCGATACTGTTTGTTCTAGTCCATGTGATTACAATTCGAACCATTTATCGAACTCACGCATCACGATAACGGTAGAAAATAGTTTATAGTAACAGTCGTGTGTTAGTGAATGTGAGGCCTCCTCCAGATGTAAGTTGGGTGGAAGGAAACACACATTGGTCACAGTCACTGGCCTTAGTCAGATCGCTTAATCTGGAGTGTTTAGTGTGACATTCCCAGCTGCCACACGTTAACTGACAGATGGAGGGGAGCACTATCTTTACAGACACATACCAAACATTACAGCAGGACATATTGAGACACACACACACACACACACACTCTCTAACAATTCCATCAACTTATTTTATTTCTATAAAGACAAATCTCAATCCGACACAGTGGCCTCTTTGCGTTTCACGTTACGCAAAACAATGCGCAACATCCTGGTGTGCTTGAACAATACCCCACAAGAAACGGTGGCTTGAAAACGGATCCGGAGTACTTGGAAAACTAAGCAACACTCTCAACTTGAACTCAAAATGATGGACTATTGAGTCAGTCCGTCTTGTGTTGTGTTGTGTTGCCACATGACCCTCGGTCTGCCCTGCCTCAAACTATTCACTATAGAAGGAAATGTAACATGGTTTGCTCAAATATAGTGCTACTGACATTTTAAATAAATGTTACTTACTTTACTTAATCGTAAATTCAATTTTTTTTTAAGTCTTTGAAACTTTGACCCAGAGGCTGACCACGAGCAGAATGTCTACCATGAACAGAGATTTTTGGGACGTTGCTCTGCTACGACATAATCTACTTCAGACAGATTACAAGTGGTGTTTTAATAGGGGAATGCGGGTGGGGCTGGCTTTTACTATTAAAACCCACCTGATTGCTGCCAAATGCCATCGCCAACTAAAGTAGTAACAGACTGAGGACCTATTGGAGCAACGCACCATAATAACCCAGTCGTCCACCGACATATCTGAGATTCCTGACTGCATTCAATCCACAGTGGAGGGGGGGGGCTTAATGTGAATGAATGAGTATTCAAGCAAGCTAAAAAAACAAAATCCCGTCATTAACGTTTCCTTGATGCCGGGTTTTGTTCTCAAAAGGAAAATGAAAGCCTTTACTTGTTATTTAGCCTTTGGCCAAAAAGGAGAAAGTGCTTTGGCACTCAATCTTGTAGAAAAATACAATCCTTTCTTTTCACACTTCTGAAATGAATCTGTCTTTGAATCTGGATGTGCAACTCACGCCCACTCACCTCTGCTCCCAATTCCTCAACTGTGGAGACTGACACGCTTGTAGAAGTTTTTCTCACAATGGAAAATCCCAAAGCTGTTTCTCTTTTTGTTTTTTTCTCTTCATCACCAGTGGGGTAAACAGGAAAACTGCCTCGACAGATTCAGTGACAAAAGCCTGCTCGTAATACTTCATGCACTACTACACTGGCAAAACACATTTATGAATTTAGATTTTCAAATTAGAATAAAGGTCCGTAATTCCTAAAAATCTGATGTCCATCAGGGATCCGTATCAGGTCAATGGAGAGTGACACACTGTAGAGAATAAGTGCTGAGGTCAGTTGTTGTGATTTGACTCTCTGGCTGAATTTTTAATAAAAGAAAATCCAATGTCTGTGGAACCAAAACTTTGACACAAAAGGGGCCCCTGGCCTCAGTTGTTATAAGGGGGGGGGGGGGGGGGCCCGGAGATTAAGAAAGGTCTCGTGTGTGTCACGTTTCAGGTCTGAGACACATCAGTCTCTCCTGTAATTTAATTCATTTAGCTATATTCCTTCTGCGACAGAGAGCCACCATGCCCCACCAACACAAGAAAAACATCAGATACATTCACAAGCCCAGCTGCCCCACATCCACCCTCATAATAACTGCTTTATCGTAACAAAATACCAACGTGAGAGACGATTCATGCGCCAACATTGCGCTTGGAAACAAAAATAAGAACAGATGCGCAACCAGACCCCATCGAATCCCCCTAAACCAATCAAACGAAGAGAGACCACCGGAACACCCATTACAGCAGATAGATCCTACCGTGTAGGAGAAAATGGAGCAGAGAAAACAGGTGAATGTATCATGAAAACGTAACAAAAATAAATCGGAGAAACGCATTAGCGAAGGTACGACGTAGCGGATATCAAGGCGCCAAAAGACAACATATTTTCGCAAGATACATGACGTTAAACACTACTAAATTACATGAAATTGTAAAATGTTGGCACGTTAGCACGTGACTAGTGTGTACCGTTTAATACATGTGAGTTACACGTCGAGTAAAGGTTAGGAGAGTGCTTTAATTATTTTTTCCAGGGTTTTTCTTTACAAGCGTTACGCACTCCATCGAGCAGAAGGAGCCTGGAACCACAGCTAGTAGCCACACAACGTTACCTGAAACCACCAGGGCCTCGTTGGGTCCGACGGTGTGACAGTTCCCCATGTTTCCGATAGAAAACAAAAGCTCGTATTCAAACCTACTCGACGCTTACGAAACTAATTTCACTTATAAACTATGTTTTTTCTCGTTTTTTCCCACCAACTGTCAATTATCGATGGGGTTTTTTCAACTGGAGAGAGTGGAGCAATGGCTGCACGTAACGTTGCACGTAATTCGACGTAGTGCTTCCGCTATGCCTTTCAAAATAAAAGTGCCGTTGATGAACATGGGTTAGAGTACTCGATTTTATTTTATTTTGAAGGTGACGCCACCACGCTTCTGTTCCTGTTTCGCTGTCGCTTGATTCAGCTGATCAGATACCCCTCCCCTCTATTGGGCCCCTCCTCCACCGTGGAAGGATACGATGCCATAATAATACAAAGGCGTGGTTGTTTAAATTTCCTCTCACGAAAGTAACCTAAACAACACTCATCGGTAATTTTCCTCTGACTTACGCGTGTCTGCGACAGCCTACTCAGCCATTCGTGACCTAGTGTTTATTTCATTTGGTGTAGTGTTCAGATTGTTGTCATAGTTAAAGCTTCTCTGTATCGCCTAATGCAGATAGAACGTGTGTCAGTTTCGAGTTGTGCTTTGATGTGTGGGCATAAAATACACACAGTGTAATGAAATATGAAAACTCTCATCCTTCCTCCTATTTCTCAATTCTCCATTACATCAAGCTGCTTAGAAAGGCCACTCTCTCGTAGGGCTCAGTAAGAGCGTGGATATTCAGCAATATAAAGCAATATTTGCACAGATTTGCTCCTTCACAATCTTTCACAATCTGATTTTCGTTACAAAACTATTTGATGGGCTGTCTTGCAGAAAAGGCATGGCAAATTGTATCCTCCTAAATTCACGTTGTCAACACTATAATCAGAGGAGACCTACACCACTCCTTTCCAGGGAATTCCAAAACTTGAGAGAACGCCACTAATTGCCTGTTAGCAGTTGCTTCCGTATACATGATGCACTTGTTGATGAACACTGTGGGGTGGCAGATTCACAGAAATCCCAAACCTGGCCCACATTTAGACTCCTGACCTTAGCAGAGTCAAAGGACTGGATTGGCTTCCATCGGTCAGACGATGCTATACGACAGCATATTTGTGGCTGTTGGCAAATATCTTCCCACTAGAACCCGAACAACGCTCTCTCAGCGACACACGGTACATTTCTTTCTTCAATGTTTCATAATTCCACAGAGTGACTTGAACATCGTCACCACCATGATATGATTACATGTTATTTTTTAGTTCTCTCATCTTCACTGAGCTTATGACAGCCTTTTATTAGTGCATGCAGTGTTATCATCTACTCCAAAGCCCTCGTGATGTTGTCATGTTTTCTTTGTCGCAGCAGATAGATGTGTGAGTGCTTCTGTTGAAATACAAAAGGATAAGACATGCTCCAGGGCAGGAACAAACTGGGGCAAGACCTGGGACCACAACCTGTACTGGCCCTTTACAACCAGCATGTAAAGATCCAACACACCGCAAAGTTGTCGCAATACCTTAAAAGCTGCATTCACAAACATTCCTAGGGGGAAATAGCATCAAATCCGGCTGCACTCTACAGGGCGGCCTGTGTGCTGTTGGAGCCCCGATCTCTCATAACGACAGGAGCTTTGGGCTAACGTAAGGGCCCAGATAAGGGTGGTGTTGAGGGCCCTCAAGAACAACTATGTTGACACTTGCTCAGAGGGCAACATTACTAAGTCATAAGCAGCATCTACACTTCTTAATTCAACATCCTCTCTTCAAAAACAAAGTTGAACCTTGCACTGGAGTTACAGCATTAATGTATGACAATTGCTAAACGAGTGCACTGATTGTCATTCAACCCCCACCTTCCCAGGGGCCAAGCATTAGTCTGATGAGCCCACTCTATCCAACAGGTAAAATAAGATAAGATACTCCTTTATTAGTCCCGCAGTGGGGAAATTCACAGGATCACAGCAGCAAAGTGGACAGTGCACACAAGATACAGAGTAAAAAAACAAGAGCAACAAGTAATATAAATAAGTAAATAAGTAATAAACAGTAAGAATATCAACTAAATCAAAAAGTACAAAATCCACAGTAACTAAGTATAACTAAAGAACTAAAATACAAAAATATTATATATACAGACAGGGTGTTTCTATTGCACAGATTTTTAGTGTTTTTTGGTGTTGTGTGGTCTACTGGGAGCACAGCTGGTTGTGCAGCCTGACAGCAGCAGGAAGGAAGGACCTGCGGTACCTCTCCTTCACACATCGGGGGTGAATCAGCCGGTGGCTGAAGGAGCTGCACAGAGCTGCCAGGGCGTCCCGCATGGGGTGGGAGGTGTTGTTCATCAGGGATGATAGCTTAGCCATCATCCTCCTGTCTCCCGCCACCTCCACCGTATCCAGTGGACACCCCAGCACACTGCTGGCCTTCTTGACAAGTTTGTTCAGTCTCTTCCCGTCGGCTGCCGAGATGCTGCTGCCCCAGCAGACCCCTCCATAGAAGATGGCTGATGCCACCACAGAGTCAAAGAAGGTCCTCAGGAGTGCTCCCTGCACTCCTGAGGACCTCAGTCTCCTCAGCAGATAGAGTCTGCTCTGAGCCTTTTTATAGAGTGTGATCAATCCAGTCCAGTTTATTGTTCAAGTGAACACCCAGGTACCCAGGTGGGCCCACAAATACAAACCACCATAAGTGCCACGATGACCAGCAATTTTTGAGTTTTCTACTTTTCCTCATATTGTCCAAATGTTAAAATCAGGGTTTCTTTTGGTATTATGAATGTACATTCACTGTCAGGTCAACTGGCTCAAACCTGATAAGAACTCTCTAGATTTTTAGACTTTTTACAGCACATGTCTGAATGGGCTAGACCTGCAGCTGTTGGACGAACGACAAACGAACATCTAGAACTTCCAAAGGGCCAGTTCATCCAGTTCATGCAGTTCGAGGTTTGCAGATTGTTCAGTCTGAGAATGGATATGAGCCGGTCATGAACTTGTCACAACAGGAGGTGGATTACAGAATTTCCCACCCTATCTGACGTTTCAATCGTGCCACAGCCCCGCTGCTTTTCCTTTTCATCCCCTCATCTGTACTCCAGATTTTGTTTTTGCTGCCCCACGTTCCTCCTTTTCAGCAGAGTTGGCTTTGGCAGTGGCACAAAGACTGTGGTCATGTTTGTCAACCTGTGACGTCCACCGCTGCATCTCTCTGCTGCAACCTTGGCTGTGTTTCCTCTTTAACCTAACTCCCTCGGTGATGGTTCATTTGGGTGTCTTTCCAGCTTACCCCCCAAAAAATCTCTGTATATATTGAATCTGTTGTCAGCAGAACATAATATCCAATCAGTTGACTTCCCTTTGAAAGGAGACATCTTATTAGGCATTCACCTAATAATGTTTATTACCCCATTTGCCTGATAGTGTGAATGTTTTCTCAAGATCAATCTCTGATAAAATGATATGGAACAATACGGGTATTCCATAATGACCAATTGCAACATGAGCCTAATTGTAAAGTGCAAACAGATACGGCTCATTGACAAAAACTCTCTGGAAAGCTGCCATGTGGTGTTGATTGTTATTTTTTCTTTATGGTGTCACGACCCGGCTCAAAAGGCCACAACATGAGGGAGACAAGACGAGTTATAAAAGTAATAAATAGACATTTATTTAATGAACCAACTAACAGACCTAAACCAACCAAACAAACAAACAAACAAACACCCAGCCAGCCAGCCAGGTCCTCCAAACAGGAGGCAGAGAGGAGATGCGCAGAGAGGGCCAGCCACAGAAGAGGGGCAGCCTTTATAGCTGGGACCAACCCAACTCAGGTGTCGCCCATCAGTGGCCGATTAACATCCTGGAAAACAACAGAGGATAAAACAGGACACAGACCCCTGGTGGAAGGGAGGGGTCGTCACAATGGTTACATATTTAATGAGCCACTGGCCATATCTCTGCTTTTCATGGAGCTTTTCAGGGCAACAGCGATGACCCCGCCTGAAATCTGTGTTACAGCACGTGTCGCTCAGAACACTCATTTCATGCATGGCATATTGCATATGAGTAACCTACTAGTCATAAAAGACGTACAAGATATCTCTCTCTACTTTTCTCTTTGTCGGGGAGCTTCAGATTTCTCATTGATGTTAGTGTTGGTGTTACAAAGGTAAAGCTTGTGGAATCCATGAAATGTTAGGATTTTTAAGAGTAATAAATGTAAGATTAAATAAATGATTCAACAGTTGAGTTCTGTCTTTTCTTTTAGACAGAGCTTCTGATAGATAATAATTGTCTAACATATTTAAAACACAAAATGTTGTATGCCTTTTCAATGCAACATTCAGAATTTCCACTTTTATTAAAACAGTGAATGCAAAAAAACGGATTCCAGCTTGACGAGTTTACTCTGTTAAATATTATTTGTTTGGCCTTCAATAGACTAAACATTATTGTCTGTATGAAGTATTAGTATCAATACATTGTTTAAAAACACACATGTTAAAATGTGCTCTGCTCACTTGTTGACCAAAGAAAAAAAAGAAAAAGACTGATGTTCATCTTTTAAAACTGAAATTCAACAATCTTAACCCTTGTGCGCTTCTCTCAAAACCACAAATCTCATGAGTTTATGCAAACATGAGCCTCAAGGCTGCTGCAGTTTTTCTGCTAGGGTAATCATTAAGGACAATAAAAAGGAAGGTTATATCACCCCGAGTCACTTAAATCCCAGCCAACCTGTCCTTGGAGCTTGGGCCCAGACGAGCGACAGCGGCAACACGGGAAGCAGACATGGAGCAACAGCTCAACAGACCAACATGGAGCAGGCAGATAGAGTTCACCCTGGCTGGCATCGGCTGTGCTGTGGGTCTGGGCAATGTTTGGAGGTTCCCTTATCTCTGCTACAGGAGTGGTGGAGGTGAGACACATATCTGTCGTCCTCAAACTGAACATCCGCGCTTATACACTGTACATATTAACTGGGTCTCAAAACTAGCTGCAAACATTAACAAACTGTGCTGTTACTGAGCTCTACTTCAGTCAAGTTGTCCTGTTGTGATGCTGATTGTGTTGAAAAAATGCTGAAGTTGTTCTGAACTTACTGTGAATTTTGTGTGAGAATATATGTGAAAAGTTCTCTCTGTTCTCTGAAACCGTGCATGTACAGTGGGAAGGAAAAATGATTTTACATGATAAAAACAGATAGATGTTGTGGAGGGATACCTCACCTGATCCAGGATGTTAGGAGGAAAACGCCGGAGCAGGATGACTTTCACAAAAGTTAAATACTAGAGGATACCAAAAGACAGGGAGCCTTTGCCAGCAAACCGTGTGTGACAGTCGATCTGCCATCCCTTCCCCTCAGGGGCCTTTCTGGTGCCATACCTTCTAATGCTGCTGGTGTTGGGGGTCCCCCTGCTCTACATGGAGCTGACTGTGGGTCAGTACACGAGGAGAGGGCCCGTCCACGCGCTGGCTACCGTCTGCCCACTCTTAAAAGGTGAATTGATTTTCCCCACTCACTGAAAGAGATAAAAAAGTGAAAAATAGACTTTATTTTTAACAATAACTTTTGCTTGTCCTCAGGAGTGGGCATAGCATCGGTGGCCATCTCCTTCATCATGTGCATCTACTACAATGTGGTCATCACCTGGGCCCTGTATTATCTCTTCAGCTCCTTCCAGGTGCCGCTACCCTGGCAGAACTGCAACAACACCTGGAACACACCAAACTGTACCAACCACGCCACCAACAGCAGTTTATCCTCCACAGCCAGCCAGGAGTTCTTCAAGTATGCTTTCACTGTGTAGGAGAAACCGGCGCTGGTTTCTCAGAATTGTGAAACCAGACTAGATATTGATTACAATGTTGCAGGATTACAAAACCCCTGTAGCTTGTAGCTTGAGAAGAGGCTGGACTGCTTACACAGCTCTTACTCCGGGGATTGTGTCCGAGGTGAACAAATTATTTTGATACATAAGAATGTGAAGTGAAGGTTAGCGATAAGAGGTAAACAGATGCTATCTTAAAGGAAGCTTTGCGTCACTTTTAAACTTGAACTTCATCACTCGTCTAATATCAAATGTTTATTGTTCTGCAGCAGTGGTTTACTCATTAACTTGTTTGGTGGATACATGTTACAATGGAATGTAGGTTTTGCGCCAAGTAACTGGTTTCACTGAATTAATGGCACAAGAAATCACAGGCAGTGTTGGGCTACAGAGATACTGCTTTCTTATCTGAACGTGTGGACAGGAACTGTTTATAATATGTATGGTAGCATTTGTTTTTTTATCAATGCAAAGTACAATTTCGACTCACTGACCACTGAACATTCGCACCTTTAAAATGCAAATCTATATTGAAATGTTTGCTTGTTTAATCTGTGAAATCAGAATTTCCCACTTCAGGTCGCAATAACTCAACATCTGATCATATAACTATTTGCATCCTCGTGCAATAAAGAGGTTGCTGTCCACCAAATATAAACTGGCATATAGTGGTAGATAAACGCTTACAGGGAACAAAGATAGTATAGTATAGTAAGGTTTAGTGTGTTTGGTTTTGAGGCATGATGTCAGAATTATTTAATCGTCTTCTTTGAAGATATAAGATGCTGGAGCAGACGAGTGGAGTAGATGAAGCTGGAGTGGTCCGGTGGGAGCTTTTGCTCATTCTCCTTCTGGCTTGGGTCCTCATATACTTTTGCATCTTTAAGGGGGTGAAATCGACGGGCAAGGTGAGTGAAAAGAGAGAGGAATTAGGACAGAGACAAGGAGGCAGTCAGTGAATAACAACCACTGTTTGCAGGTGGTGTACTTCACGGCTCTATTCCCATACGTTATCCTGATCGCCCTGCTGATCAATAATGCACAGCTTCCTGGGGCATTAGATGGAATATCCTTCTTCATCGTGCCAAAGTGGGACAAGCTGCTGTCAGTGGAGGTAAGAAGGAAGAATCGGAGGAGATGAGGAACTGGAAATCTGCTGGTTCTGTCTGAAACAGGAGAGCAGTTAACTGGTGGAATGGTAACGGGTATTAACTGGCACTGATGGTGGTTTTGGATGGTCATCCCTCTGTTTTGCAGGTGTGGGTGAATGCTGCAGCTCAGATTTTCAACTCAATCGGGATTGGTTTCGGCTCCCTCATGGCCATGTCCAGCTACAACTCCTTCAACAACAACGTGCTGAAGTACAAAGACAAAATCCTCATATGCTCAGACAACAATGATCACTGGGCAGTAAGAAAGTGTGATAAAAAAACATCTGCTTTCCCCACAGGGACACCCTGACTATATCCATCATCAACTCCGTCACCAGCATCCTGGCAGGTTTTGTCATTTTCTCAGCTTTCGGATACATGTCCCATCTGCAGGGCATCCCTATCAGCGATCTGGCCGTGGATGGTAAGAAATCATAGTGATAGAAAAAATCTTCAGCTCCAAGGGGATTGGAGAATTTAGGTTTAGAGATTGTCGCCTTTTCCCCAATAATAGTGTGAGCGTGGCTGGGTAATTACTCATATAAATTGGTTTTAAAAAACAAAGAGAGAAACAGTGAAAAACAATGTTTTTCCTTTCAGAGGGTTTGCAGTGTTATAATTCAGTATCCTTGCAAAGCAGTGTTTCATGGTAGTTACATTGTTCCCAGTCATTTTATTTTTAATAGGAAAGGTAAAACACAGCTGTAATCCAGTGAAATATGAGTTATAATAGCTAATTAAAGACATAATGATACGACGAAGGGTAAAGGCCAACAGAAATTAATGCAACCTTTCCAACAACAACAAAAATACGTGTGGAATTGACAATAAATAAATGTATAAATATATATATTTTTGAAAAGCAAGTGGTGCATTACATTACACAAACCATCAGTACGCTTCTTTCCAATGCATGCAGTCACTGAGTGGTTGCGCTAGAGATGTTGATCAATTCCCCATATATTGCTCTTGCCATTGCAATCTTCATAATTTCCTTTTTCCTTTTTCAATCAGCAATGCCACACTGTCATCTTGTGCGTTTGTTGCATTCAGGTCCAGGACTGGTTTTTATTGTTTACCCACAAGCCTTTGCCAACATGCCAGTGTCTCAGCTGTGGGCCGTGATGTTCTTCTTCATGCTGCTTTGCCTCGGACTGGACAGTGAGGTAGTTAATGGCGGAAAACGGCACCACTTCATTGGTAATAGTAAGAAATGCAGCAATCCTGCAGAGGTGCAATGTGACTTTTTTTCTCTCCTTCTTTGTTTGTCAGTTTGCAATGGTTGAAGTGATGGTGACCAGTCTCATGGACGAGTTCTATCACCACCTGATTACATTTTTCAAGCGGAAGGAGCTGTTTGTTCTTGCTATTTGTGGCGCAGCGGGCCTGCTGGGGATCCCCTGTGTCATGCAGGTATACAGACATGTGATTTACTGGATGAGCTTTAATTAAAGTGTATCACTTACCCGCAAGTCCTAAAGAGCGCGTCACTTTTTCAGGTGGGCATCTATGTGTTCCAGCTCATGGACCATTACACCGCCATAGTGTCCATCTTGTTTCTTGCGTTCTTCGAGGTCATAGCCATCTGTTGGAATTATGGTAAGCAAATGTTTTGTGTTTCTGTTTTTCAGTGGCCTGTTATCGTCACATGCTCCAAAAGTAGACACCTCCCTTTTTTTTTGAGGCTATATGTAGACTATCCTTCTCAATGACAAATGTTGTAAAAGGTCCGACACCATGCAAACACAATGTGCAGGGCTGTTAACTGAAGCAGCTCTCCATGCGCAGGTGTGAATCGACTTTCAGACAACCTAGAGGAGATGACTGGGAAAAGACCAAACATCTTCTTCAGACTCTGTTGGCTGATAGTTGCTCCTGTGCTGGTCACTGTAAGTCCACATGATTTAGATTTTTTTTTTCTCCCCTTGAACCAAAACTGAGATCCATCTAAACGTGTCGCATTACTTGTTTCTTCTTGGGGCAGGTCATCCTGATTTTCTCCATCATCCAGTTTAAACCAGCCCGCTATGGGGACTATGTCTTCCCTCCTTGGGCTCAGGGGGTCGGCTGGGTCATCGCCATGGGCTCCATCATCTGGATTCCTTTGGGTGCTGTTCACACATTGTGGGTGCTACCTGGCTCATTCATGCAGGTGACACACATTTCCTTTTTTTTCCTTTCTCTCCAGTCAAAACATTGAAGGTGCAGCAGCGCCCACATGCATGTGTTGCAAGCTATGTGATAATACTATTGGTGCAATTCTCCTACAGAAACTGAAGCTGTCCGTCACACCGTACGCCCTGAATGAAAAGCCAAAAATGCCGTACTATGAGAGGGGAGGAGGAGAAACACATCCAGGCATGGCTGTCATCAGCTCTGACATCCAGCTGCCTGAAAAACCTCCTATTCAGACAAACCTGTGACGGCTCTGTGCTTTGACAAGAGTGGCAAGTTAATCACAAAGTATCGTTTGCCGTTAGTTTTAAATCTTCAACAAAACGTTAAGCAAGCATACTACAGAAATGACCTAAATGATATTGAAAATGTGTTGCTGCATATCTGCTATGCAGATGTATTGAAATAGCCATTTTTTGTGAGCCTATTAATTTAATTTGTTGTTGTAAATTTGAGATTTTGTTGAACTTCTAAGCGTTTTGCTTATTTTTTTAATGTGGAAAGATGTTGTGAAAAGACAGCGTTTAGAATGACTTGTTGTGTACATCTTTAGTATCCGGCCAACACTTCCTGTTGCCACAGAGCTCCAAATGACAAATGAGTCCTCCTCAGGGCTTCACACACATTTCCCGGCCCTCATTGATACGGACTCAACTTTGCTAAGGGTGCCATCTCTTGGCCATGTCGGCTGATGCAAGTACGAGTGTTGATAAATCTGAGGTCAGGTACTGTGCTTAGATTTAGTACATCTATTTTAACCAATGAAATGAAAAGGTAATGCTACCATTTAACATTCCCAGTTCATACAGCGGAATCACTTCTGTTAAAACCATAAACCACTGTGGACCAGTTGATTGTGCCAGACTCTTTTATTAGGTCAAATGCAACAACTGGTGATGAAGATGATTATACTGTACGTCAGTGGTAAACAGGGGAGTACACAACTCATGCAATTCTATGTCATGTAGGATGTAATAAAAAGTCACAAAGTCCACAGCTTGTGACTTCTACAATGGCAGGTGAGCTCTAACGTCCGGTGAACATAACAGACCATAATTCACTTTCCGGGCAATTGTTTTTATTTATTCATTTAAGGAGAAATTTCCACTGTGAGGTCCACATTTATAGGGTATACATTTACAGAGTTAGTTCTTTTTCCCTACATAAGTTGCCAGTGTTTCCTTCTTGTAATTCCTCATAAATGAATCCAAAGTGCAGAACGACTGAAATTACACAGTCAAAAGAGGTGGATAGTAGAAACCCATGTGCTGAACAGGCAATGGCACCTGTGCTTTTTCCAGATTCCTTATGAGTGGGTGAAAGCCTTTGTGAAAACAGACGGTGAGTAAAGGTGGCAGCATGGACAGACTGATGTTAGTTACAGTGGGTAAGACATAGTACTGTCTATGGTTAGTGTGTATGACACCACATCTATCTATGATCAAAAGTTAAAACATTTATAAAAAGAAAAGATTAAAACAAAAAAAATGTCACTTATAAACAGCAATTAATCTTTCCATTTAATTTCAAAACGATATGTCATGTGACCTACAAAAAACATGTGCAATCAATGGCATACTCTTCCCTCTGAATTGATGGTTGTGCGGATGACCACACAGCACAGCAGCAACTCTCTCCTTTGTTATTTGTTGGAGTCGGCTCAGTTCGGGGACTGGGCTCAACGATTCACAAATACCAGGTTGCTGCATTCAGTAGTATTTTCGCAGTGGTTTACAAAGTCCGTGCCCTTAATTTCCTCGCACAGCCTCCTTAAGGCTCATGCCCTTTGACCATGGCCCTGCAGATCCAACACAGCTGTAGTTGATTTGTTTAATTCCCCCCCCCCCCCCCCCCCCCGCCCACCCCACCCTTGCCCAGCAGAGGTTGCTATGGAGTCACCATGGCTGCCGTCTGGTCTGCTCCTCCTCCAGCTTCCTGTTCCACTGCTATGACACCTGCTCTACTGGCCTCATCTGCACATCTCCAATCTGGTGACACGAACAAAAGACATCAGTACAGAAACCAGCCACCACACACCGCTGATCCATTTGATGGTGTAAAAGCTAGAGAGACACAGAGATGTATACATGTACGTACCTGGACATGAGGAGGGGCACTGAGGACAAATGTGACTGCACTGGCTACGTCTTCTGCTTTCAAACACTTAAAAAGTGGAGAAAGGAGGTGTTATTGATGCAAAAGCACTCTGGTATTTTCACTTTGTGTTACGCATCTTGTGACTCCGAAGTCAAACGAGCGCTCTTACTTTCATACTCTCGTATACCGCGGCTGCTTTCTCTGGATCACTGTTGTGGTGCCGGAAGGCAAACTCCGTCTCGACTATTCCAGGAGATATACACTGCAGGGAAGGCAAACGCATCGGGAAAAACGTTCATATTTACCGCTCACGCACTGACAGTTTGGGAAAGCTTCAGGACAAACTAGAGTAGAGTTGTTTATGCGACCCAATATGCGAGCAACAGCATAGGCCAGAGCAAAAGCCTGCAAACTCTGAGGACAACCGCTAAACTTACTGTGGCTCTGATGTGGGTGTTTGCTTCTCGCAGCTCTTGCCGGATCCCCTCGGTCAAAGCAGTCACCGCGTATTTAGTGGCACAATAGAAATGCTCGTCGCCACTCGGGACCACTCGGTGCCCACCCATACTGTAACAGGTAGAAGGGGAGAGAGACGAGTTAGTGACCACATTATTGTAAATAACTCTACTTGCATCCTTCTAGAGCAAGATTTCTCACAAGTCACATTTATTTGTATGGTTGAATATCATAGACAGTCTCAATGGGCTTTACAGGCCCAGAGCAGTTCCCACAAATAGACAGTTGAATCAATTAATAGATCGATAAAATTCAACAACAGGATTATGATAGAGCTTCACATTGTTCCATGTACAGGCTCACCTTTACTTAACACCTGCCGGATTCAAACCACCTTGAACAAACCGGCTGAGGTATTTTCAGATCAATCTCTACATTTGTTCTTGGATTCAAAAAGGTATAGCTTACCTGTTAATATTGATGATGTGGCCATCATCCACATTCCTCTCCTTCATTGATTTGTATGCCTCTCGGGTGCAGATGGACAAGGCCAAGACATTCACCTGCAGGGTGAAGGGAAGACATCCACTTCATTCATGTCTTAGTTTCTATCAATCTCTACATGCACGACATGACACGTAGCTAAACTCCGGCTCATATCAAAGTGGAATGGGATTTTGCAAAAAAACTCAGAATACCGTGTGCTGAAAGTGTATCAGCTGACTGATCTGTATCGCTGCGTTAGACCAGCTGAACCTGCTGTTCCTGTCCAGCTTGTGGCCTCTAAGCTGCTCCTGCGGTGACATTGATAGACGGCAGGTTAAAGCCAACATGGTGGCAAGATAGGGGGAAGTGACCAAACAAGGTCAGCGTACAGATTAAACACGGGCTAAAAATACACTGCTGTACACATTCATGTGGGCTGCCATGACAACAGATGGATGAGCGTTACGAATGCAGGACTTGGGGAGGCAGGGGGGGGGGGGGGGGGGTCTTCAGTGGTCAAGAGCTCAATGAATCACAATGTAAGGTTTGAACAAGAGAAATAGTGCTGGCTTTCATTAGTGGGCCTCTGCTGTGCTTCTCCTCAGAGCCAATGAAGCAGCCTCTGTGAGGGGAGGGGCTCTCTGTGTGTGTGTGTGTGTGTGTGTGTGTGTGTGTGCTGTCCCATGTGTCCGTACACTTCTGCTTTAACTCTTACTCCAACAACGCTCTACAAACACAACACTTCCACTCACACCGGGCAACCGTTTCAGCTCCCTCTTCTGCTTTTATTCTGGTTGAGTAGAGCACCGATAAAAAAATCAATATAACATAAACGGAAGAGGATCATTCTAACCAACCCTACAAGAAATAAATACAAGGCTCGTCTCAGCTGAAGCATTTGATATTTGTGTGTGCGTGTGATGATCCACCCACGTCGATCATGTTCCTCCAGCCCTCTGTTTTCCCGCTGAGCAAGGGCTCATCGTGGGCCAGCCCGGCGTTGTTGATGCACACGTCCACGCCCTTGTGTAGCGTCTTGATGGCTGAAAACATGGACAGGATCTCCTCCTCGTTGGACAGGTCACACTTGTAAGGGATCAGCGTGCCGCTGTAGCCCGCACTCTGACATTCTGCTGCCAGCTTCTGAAAATCACAAATCAGACCCAATTCAACAGACATTTGTTAGAGGATAATAAACACAGAAATGTAAGCACTACAGGTCACCATGAATTGATAATCGGGACTGAGACACTGTTGGGCGAGAGCTAGAAATCATTAACCCGCCACATCATAATTAAGACAGAGTCAGCGCCATCATAAAACACCATACCCGCTCAGACATGAGGAAAACTGTGAGAGCGTGCAGCCGTAAAATCAACACATCAGTTGAGGGCTCCACTACAACCAGGTCAGCTGGCTGCGTCCGCTGCTGTGGGGTTTGATACAAACTGACCCCCCCCCGCCCGCCAGGCACAGCTGCACCAGTCACCTGATGTCTCGCTCTGGGTGCCAGTCAGAGAAAGGGAGGGGGCGTGGGGGATAAGGGCGGTGCACCGAGATGATGGAGCAGTGTGTGCGGACTAAATGTTTAGAAAGTCCTTTATGTGGATGTACTAGAAGGAGAAAACAAACCTCTAAAATTTCAACAAAAGCTTCATTGTGCTGCAATAATCCATTGATAGATGATATTTTGGTGTTTGTCTTATTTGATGAACATGAAGTTGGCAGGAACTGGACATTATGACCATTTATCTATTATTCTTAGTTAACGATTTCAACAGTTTATTTGTTACTTTTCGTTCACTATTTAGAGTTTAGTTTCCTTAATTAAATGAATTAGCTTTCCATGACTCCTCTGGTACCCTGATCGAGAACTAGCGTACACACCAAGTAAAGTGTGATAAATTCAGAGCGGCCATGTGACCTATTGAGAGCGCGATCGTGACACATTATATATATATATATATATATATATATATATATAAAAAAAACACCCAAATACTCAAGCTGGCTAAATATAAAAAAAAGGTGAGGATTTATGTACTTATGCCTCTTTCCAAAATGCCTCGTCAGTATCGTGGGCACTTTCCAACCTTTTCTTTAAGACCCACAACACTTTAAACATTCCTTATGTGCATGGACGTTGAGCACTGAATCCTGCTTTACGGGCAGAGCGAAGCGCGTTGTAAAGTCTATAATCATAGCTCACAATATTGAGGTCTTTTTTTTTTGTGGCGCAACTAATCCGAGAGAAGAGGCGGCATGATCTGATGCCTCCTAAGTACCTGAAATGTGGCGACAGCTTATACAGCCAGAATGTAAAATGAAGAAATCTACAGAGCATGCAGAAGAGAAAGACAATCGCTCATCACATGCGAGTAGTGTGGATCAGTGGGACTAATGTTGTGGGACTTTCTGTTAAATGTCTGACGTCTGAACATGAGTGCAGCATATCTGCAGATTGTGGTCGCTGCTGCAGCCGAACCTTAAAACCAAGCGTACTTGTGTGAAGCCTGCTTTTTGTAATCGGGATTGGATTTAGGCTTTTTTTTTTTTTTTTTTTTTTAACAAAACATGTAATAGAGTGAATGCATCCTATCTCACACTTGGAGTCTGCAGATTTCCCCTGCTCTTCCTCTAAGCTGTTTAACTGGGATTATCCAGAGTGAAGGCATTACCCGAATAAAGCTGTCAAAAATGCTAAAACACTGAAAACACTTGTCTCATCTGTAAAGACTTAAAATCACTGGTCTGTTCAGACATTAAAGTCAAGTATCTGAACCGCCTTAAGACCAAAGATCTCCACTAGAGGGGGAAGCCATGCCGGCCTTTTGTTAGAGGGGGAGAACTAGTTGTGTTGCTGAGGTTTAAGTGGGAGCAGCAGAGCAAACAGGCTGTGATCTTGGTCCAACTACAGGAAGTCTCAGGCTGTGAATCTCTGCGTGTGTGCGTGTGTGTGTGTGGGTGGGTGAGTTCTGGCACCAGCTCCACTGCCTACAGCAATGGCACTACAGATAAGCAACAGTAAGATAGCTGGCAAATGCACTCCACACGCGATCCATTTATCACAAACCGAATTATAAACTGGAGATCTGCAGGTGAAGCATGTTTGGTGCCTCTCCTTTTAAACACAGGGAGGGAGAAAAACCCCAGCTGAACATATCACAATGACAGACAGCAGAGCTGCTGAATGAGCCTTGGGGAAACACATAAAACTGAAGATAAGTATGTTTGAGGGCAAGTTGTACTGGACACACCCAAATCAATCAAAAGACGCATTGGAATCCAACATTTCCCCCACTCAATGCAGCCTTTTTACTAATCTTGCAGTTCTTTTGACAATATTTAAAAAATTTAAAAACTTTTGCATTCAAAATCCATTTCCATATCACCTGTGTTATCAGTTGCTCTCAAATGGTTTTGTTCGTGGGCAGTTATAAAAGACCGCACATGCGTACAAAGAACGCAAACTAAATGCACTGCTGCCATTACCCACACAGTCTTGATAAGACCGACACTGAAAAGATAATAAAGACTTACAAAAAGACAAATGATGTTACTACAGGTCATAAAGGCTTTATGTGTTAAGGTAATGGGTGTGCATACACCCACGCAGCACTCTCCTGCACATGTTTACATGCTCACATTCATGGCCAGTGCGCCCTGCGGGGGGGGGGGGGGGGGGGGGGGGGTCGCCACCTCCGCCAGCGAAAATCCTTTTTTCTTCC